ATCTGTCAGCTGTTTCAACCTAATAATGTACAAGTGGCTCCCCAAGCTGAAATAATTATTCTTTTCCAACCTGACATGACAAACATTTCCTTATCTCTCTAAACTGCTGTGGCTGGCATTTCAATTTCTGAAAGCATATGCCCATCACCACCATCTGTCACTCCACAACTTTGTAGCATGATCACTGGGCATTATGGCACAGCATAACTTATCCTGTTAGTAGTAAACAATAAATGAGATGTACTACTGAGTGTAAGCAGGCTGGTCTCAAAGGTATTTCACCAAGCACAAGAAATGAGTGGGCTTTAAAACTGTAGACAAAAACATGAAGGCAGAAACAAAAGCCTCTGGACAAATGGATAAAATCCCTGGTTGCAGAAGAAAAATTCCCAAGCAACTAGTGAATACCATTTCCTTACCATCTGTCCCCTGGCATTTAAAACACCCTGCATGTTCAAGCACAGTACACTCCTTGACATTTGATGTTGGGAACAAAGACAACTATCTCTTTTGAATTTAACTGTGCAGTAACTTTTCAAAGTTCTACATTAGTTTATGTATACATAGATGCCCATAGACCAGCCATGAACTACAGGCATTAAATAAATGTGTAAACCATACTCCATGGACTAGTCTTCATTTATAGTGATTTTGTTTATGTGAGTTCAGTTTAAACAGTAGGTTTCCTTGCAGATCATTTATATATTTTTGCTGGTAGATATTGTGTGATGAGCTTGTATGTAGTAGTAGTAGTAGTAGTAGTAGTAATAGTAGTAATGATGGTGATGATGACCCAAAATGCAGGCTGTGCAAGGAAGCTGATGAAACCATTGATCATATCCTCAGCTGTTGCAAGATAACGGAGGCACAACTCTGTGGTCCAAATAATACATTGGAATTTATTTCACAAGTACCACCTGCCAGTAGTAAAGAACTAGTGGGACCATAAACCTGCAAAGGTAGTGGAAAATGAACACGCAAAAATACTGTGGGATTTTAGAATCCAGACTGACAAAGTTTTGGAACACAATACACCAGACATCACAATTGTGAAAAGGTAAAAAGTTTGGATTATTGATGTCACCATACCAGGTGACAGTCGCATTGAGGAAAAACAACAGAAAAAACTCAGCCGTTATCAAGACCTCAAAATCGAACTACAAAGGCTCTGGCATAAACCAGTATAGTGGGTTCCAGTGGTCATCGACACACTGGGTGCCATGCCAAAAGATCTCAGCTGGCATTTGGAAACAATAAACATTGTCAAAATCACAATCTGTCAACTGCAAAAGGCTACCTTACATGGATCTGCGCGCATCATTTGAAAATACATCACATAGTCCTAGACACTTGGGAAGTGATCCAAAATCCAGCATATATATCTCGTTTGCTGTGACATAGTGTATTTTAGTGTCAGTAAAATAATAATAATAATAATAATAATTATTATTATTATTATTATTATTATTATTTATTTATTTATGTTCCGCCCTGTCTCCCCAAGAGGGCAAAAAGGTAAACATTCAATGCCCGAAACAATAAATACAAATACAATAATAAACCTACCAGAACCCAAAATAAACCAACATATACCACAATAAACCCACATGTACCAAAAATAAACCCACATACATGATCAAATTATAACATATAACCTAAAATTATATTTATTTGTTCTTAATTTATACCATTTTGAGCAAAGGGGAGTATGACACTATGATATCCAAAGTTTTGGATCTTGTAATTCATTTTATCTGGATATGAAACTAGATTGATGAGTGAAATGTTTTGTGGTGCATCCACTGTGAAATTAATGCAGTAACACCACTTTAACTGACATGGTTCAATGCTCTTGAAACCTGGGGTTTGTAGTTTGGCAAGTCACCTTCACTCCTTGGCAGTTCTGTACTAGTCTCTTTGAAAAAAATATTAATTGCTATCTTTTCATAGATTTAGTTGGGACATACGTATTCTCAGTGTTCTCAAGAGAGCATTGAGAATAATGTCGTCATAACAATGAATGGGACAGCCTGGAAAACTCACAGTAACTCAATGGGACAGATGACTGCATACTGCCTTCCTTTCCCCCCTCCTTGAGGAGTAAACACTACTATAGATGGTCTGGGTGCCTTCCAGAATAAGTCAGGACAGCTGAAGCTGATAAAAGCTTATAAATGCATGTACACACATGCATACACACATATCCAAAAGATGTTAATTAAAGTCCTTATCATTAGTAGATGTAAAGTCCTGAAATTGCTTTGTGGAGATAATTAGGCATAGGTTTAGACAAGGTATCGTCTCTGCTCTTGTCATGTTCTGTTCCTATTGTGCCTGAAACAATGGAGCTGGACTTTACAAAACTAATAATACAGTAGACTTGTAGTTCACTGGAACTCAAGCAACTGGCAAAAAATTCAAAGAAATAATACTTGAAATAAAAATTAAAATGCACGTATAATGCAGTAAAACTGTGTTACATTAAGTTACATGTGCCTTTTTTGTCTCAATCTGCTTTTAATGACTGTATTTCAGTATTAATATCAAGTCAATACAGAGTTTATAGTATAGTATGGGATATAGTCTTAGGCCTATTTGTAATATTAACTCTCAAGCAACTAGAAATTACATTTATCCGGTATCTATCAATCCCCATGGGTACCATTAACTATGAATTCTTTGTGCATATACGTTCCCACTACCATCCCAAGTGGTCAATCTCCTTCCTAGAGAGAGAGAGAGAGAGTTACAAAGGTAATAATACATTATAGATCAGGATCAAATCCCTGTTCAGAAGGAGCTGCTTGGCAAACTTGGAAACTTGTAGATGTTCCATAAGCATTTCTGTCCTGCTCTCCTTCATTGTTTCCCCCTTAATTCCTTTATGGTTTTAAATAAGCATTCTGTGGGATTTTTGAACCAGATCATCGATGAGTTTCTAAAAGCAAAGTTGAGTTTCAGAATGGACCACCTGCCTTACAAGCTTTTTTTTCCCTTGGAGGTGAGTGTCATGGTCAAGTTTCCTTGAAGTACAACCTTTGACATGGCTTTGAAGTGAAGGAGAGCTAATACTTCAAAAGGGGATGGTCACTTCATGCACTCAAAACTAAAGGATATTTCAGCCACAGATAATAGCCCAAGAATTGCAGCGAGAAAGCTGGTCTTATACTCTTCTGTGTCCTTTTCTCGAGTGAAAGACTGCAAGGTCTTAAAATGTTTTGGGTATGCAATGTGACAGGGGCACAATAGAGAAGGAACAAAGTCTGATGTGACTGAATACCTTTTTTCAGTATTTTTTATATTTTTTATATTTATTTCATTATCTGTTGTATGTATCACTTTACAGAGTTTACATTGGCAAGCAAGGTAGATTTATTTTAGTTGATTATACCTGCATATTCTTTTTAAATGTGTGTGTGTGAAAGAAAGATAGACTCTCTGTTATTATATGCAATATGAGATCTGTGTCTTTAAAATTATTCATCTTTTCCTTCCAAAATCCAAAATACTCCAAAATCGTCTCTGTGGATGCCTGAGATAGTGACACCTTTACTTTCTGATTGTTCAGTCTACACAAACTTTGTTTCATGCATAACATTATTTAAAATATTGTATGAAATTATATTTGCTCTATGGGTATAAGGTATATATGAAACAAATGAATTTTGTGTTTAGACTTGGCTTTCATCTCTAAGATATCTCATTTATGTACATATAAGCAAATACAGGTATTGACAAATCCAAAACATTTCTGACCCCAAGTTTTTTGGGTAAGAGATACTCAACCCTGTTTATATATTTTGTAAAAATAAATGCTATTCATAATTATCAATTTATGTGAATAAAACATTTCTTTATTGCGAGTTTAGATTAAGATCTACCGGGGAGGCCATCCTCTTGGTCCCACCTCCATCTAGTGTGGTTGGTGGGGACGAGAGAGAAGGCTTTTTTGGTGGTGGCGGTAGAATGTCCTCCTGAGGGAGATTAGACTAGCCCCCATTCTCCAGGCCTTCCATAAACAACCTTTTTTTCATGTCAGGAGTGACTTGAGAAACTGCAAGTTGTCTCTGGTGTGAGAGAATTGACTGTCCGCAAGGACGTTGCCCAAGGGACGCCCGGATAGTTTTTTTGTATTTTACCATGCTTATGGGAGGCTTCTCTCATGTCCCTGCATGGAGAGCTGGAGCTGACAGAAGGACCTCATCCTTGCTGTCCCCAGATTCGAACCTCTGACCTGTCTGTAATCAGTCCTGCCAGCACAAGCTTTTAACCCATTGTACCACCGAGTGTTCCCCATATATACAACTGAAGACATGGCTTTTTCAACAAGCCTTTGACCATGTTTAGAAACCCTTAATGAACATATTTGAGAGCCTAGAGATTATTTCACCGTGCACTTTATGAGACTGATATTGATTGCAGTTGTTTTATAACTGTAGCAATGGTTGCATTTTACTGATCTTAACCCGGGGGGGGGGGGGGGGGGTGATATTTATGTTGGTTGTTATTGCTTTTATGTTATTGTCTTTGCACTTTTTGTATTTTGTGTGTTTGCATTTTTTAGTTCTGTGTGAGCCGCCCCAAGTCCCTCTGAGAGATGGTGGCTGGGTATAAAGCATTATTATTATTATTATTATTATTATTATTATTTTGCAGACCTAATTTTCATTTTGTCTTAACAGAACTGCAACATATGTGCATTGGGAAGGGGTGTTTTATACCTCAGATTATTATGTTTTTTTAAAAAACTTATTCCAAGGGAACATAACAAAATGAAAGAAATTGCGAAGCAACAAAGCTACCTTCACTTAGCTGAGTTATTTATTCAGTTATTCACAATATATATATTGCTAATACTGCTTCCTGATTACAGTATATTGTTCAGGAACAATAGATAAAAATAAAAGTAGCATTTGCTATTCTTAATCTTTCAACTGATTTTTTAATTAGATGAACTATTAAATTATTTTGTATCCCCTTTCTCTATTCAATCTTTACAGCGGAAAGTTACAAGGAATCCCAGGCGATAAAGATTAAAGAAGAGCCCATGGAAGTTGATATTCAGGATCCCCAAGCCTCAGTTTCACCCAGCCAAAACATCAGTTATAGCACTTTACTCAGGCAAGAGATAACTGAACACATACAAAAGATACCAGAAGGCCGCGTACTCCCTGAGAGAAACCTCTTCAGCCAAGATATATCAGTAAAGATGGCTTCGGAGCTACTTTTTCAATTGTCAGGTAAATAAAGTAGCTTTTGGGGGTATATTTTGAATTTGTCTGAGTTGAACTTGTCATGATTGCAAGACCTTGGTACAAGCTTGAGGCCACCAACATACCAGGTTAGAAAAACATTACATTTAGAAGTTTCATTCAACTGGGGTTAGTTCTAAGCAGACAAGTACAGTTAGAAATAGCCCTCCAGCTGTTTTGAACTACAAGTCCCAATGTCTTGTGAAGGCTGTAGTCCAAAACATCTGTAAGAAATCAGGTGGACTACCCCGATATATAGGATTGCACTGGAACATATACACTGGAACATATCTGAGTAAATGTGCCTAGGATCATGCTGTAAAGTTGAGAAAAGATACTTTGCTTCCAATGTGGCAAAAAGTATTTTTATAAAAATATATATTGCACACTAAAGATTCACTAGAGATCCAGAGTGCACTGTTGTTGATTTGCTTACAATGAACCCCTTTTGTGTTGAAGTTATAAAATTATTTTGACCTTCAGTAACAGGTAAGGCAATGGTAGAGCTAGTAGTACCTATGTGGTGCTGGTTCATCTCATGTCATGCTGTTCCTTCTTCAAAAGATCAATTGGCGTACTCCCTGGCTCTTCCTGACATGTTGAAGCTGTGGCAACGAAAGGAAGGAAAATAAGATAGTTGTAGAAACTCTTTCTCTTGTCTCTTCAAAGTTTTTGATAAACCGTTTTTCAGATGTGGCCTTATTGGAGGAATTGAATTGTATGTAGGGCTAAAAAATATTGGAAGAAGGTTGCAGTTAAGACAAAATAAGGGAGGGCTACATTCTTATTAAAATGTTTACCGTATATATTTGAGTATAAGCTGAGTTTTTGGCCCTTTTTTAGGCTGAAAAGCCCCCCCCCCTCCCGGCTTATACTTGAGCCTTATTTTACTCTGTTATTATTTTTGTTATTACATTCATTATTTTCTCTATTTATTATTATTATTATTATTATTATTATTATTATTATTATTATTATTATTGCATTTATTATTTTACTCTTATTATTGGAAGGATACATAAGCACATTTACATTGAAGAAGGTTAGAATAATGATTTAATCAATGTTGGATAGTCTTATCTTAAATGACAGTTTTATGTAAATATTCAAAAACATTTAACCCATTGATGCTTCAATGAATGTAATTTTATTGGTATCTATTTTTATTTTTTGAAATTTGCCATTAGTTGCTGCATTTCCCACCCTCAGCTTATACTCAAGTCAATAAGTTTCCCAGTTTTTTGTGGTGAAATTAGGTAGTTTGGCTTATATTTGGGTTGGCTTATACTGGAGTATATATGGGTAATCATCTAAATAATACCCTGTCCATGCACTACAAAAAGAAGGAAAACTTGAAGCACTGTGTTTTTTCCCCATTCTACACATGAGATGTGATTTTGGGATATTACCTGAATTGAGAGCCATGAGTGATAAAATGAGTCATTGTGTTCCGTCTTCTATGACTTTAAATAATTTTTCCCCAACCAGGCGCCTTTGAGAGGCAATATATTACAATTTGATTGCTAGAGGCTATTCTAGCTAGAAGTTATTCAAGTTGTAGTCCAACAGACAGAAGGTAACAGATAACGGAAAGCTGTTTTGAAAGATGTATGGATAGATTCTTAGCATTCACTTCTTCAAATACTTTATCCTACTTTTCCAACTATCCCCAGTTCCTGTAACACAAGGGCAAGGAACCTCTTTCCACCCAAAGGCTAGACTTCCAAGTTCAGAGGTGGCTACATTCCAGAGGTGGGCTGGTCCAAAGTTTAAAAGCTGTGACTAATCCTTTGTTTTGTATTGTTCTTTGCTTTGACCGGTTGAGACACGGTCAAAGAGAGACCTCAGGTCATTGAAGTCCAGAGCCTTTAATGAGTCCTTTAATGAGTCAATCCACCTGGGATGTGGTCTTCCTCTTTTACCAGTGTGTCTCACATAACCAAGAATGTTCCAGTGAATCATGTTGTCTCATAGTATGGTCAAAGTATGTTAGGCTCAGTTCATTTGGAATGCAGACTTGATTTGCTCTAAAAGATAAAGGTAGTGCCCTGACATTAAGTCCAGTCATGTCTGACTCTGGGGTGTGGTGCTCATCTCCATTTCTAAGCCGAAGAGCCAGCGTTGTCCGTAGACACCTCCAAGGTCATGTGGCCGGCATGACTGCATGAAGCGCTGTTACCTTCCTGCTGGAGCGGTACCTATTGATCTACTCACATTTGCATGTTTTCGAACTGCTAGGTTGGCAGAAGCTAGGGCTGACAGCGGAAGCTCATGCCGCTCCCCGGAATCGAACCTGTGACCTTTCGATCAACAAGCTCAGCAGCTCAGTGCTTTAACCCACTGCGCCACCGGGGGCTCCTTTGATTTGCTCTAGGATCCATTTATTTGTCATTTTGGTCATCCATGATATCCATAGACCCTAACTCTAGCATAATATCTCAAATGCATTGATTTTTTTTTCTTATTTGCTTTCTTCACTGTCCAGCTTTCACAGTCTTACATAGAAACTGAAATACTATGACATAGATTATCCTGTTTTTGATGTTCAATGATACATCTTTACACTTGAGGATCTTATCGACAATGTTTCATCGCATAATAGTTGCCATTGCATATTATTTGCACCCCAAGTTTTGGGGTCCTGGTTTTGGTATATATATTTTTTTCCTTACATAATAGCTGTACCCCTGCCTGCCTGCCCCTTGGAGCAGCCCTCTATCTCCAAGGGGCAGACATATGAGCAGGTGAAGGTTCAAGAGCTAGGAGGATTCTCTCTGCTGCTACCAGCTGAGGGAGGCTTTGTAACTCTGGTCAGCAAGCACATGGACAGGTGAGCCTTCACCTGCCCATGTACCTGCTGGGGACAGCTACAGGGCTTCATTCGGCTTCTGGCAGTCAAAGGAAATCCCGTAAGGCTCACTTGCTCATGCACACCAGTGGAAGAGGCCTATGGGATCTCTCTCAGCTGCCATCCAAATTTTCACTGGGTAATATTTGCTTCCCTTCTTTTTTTGAGGGGGGGGGGGAAAGAGTGACTATTACACAGTCAAATATGATACTTCCTTTATAATTGCATTTACATATCGTAGCTTTCTTCAAATATTTGACTACAACTTTGGAGAGGATTTTCAATCTATAAGTGGAATTTGAGATATAAAAGTTGAAAATGATAAAATCATTGGATTTTGGGAAAGGGGATGTGGCCATCTAGGGAAATTGGAAGTGACCCATTTGTATCACAAAAAAAATTGGCTTTCCTTTCAGGATAGCTGTTCACTGCCATTGATATAGTATGTAAAATAATATTATAGAAGATGGCATATAGTGATCACCATTTAGATTTTTTAAAACCCACTGAAATAACACTGGGAAGCTACAGCTAGATATAATTGAATAAAGTAATAAATTCATAACAATAGTTTTCCCTTTCAAAAACAGCCAAGACTAAAATTTTCGAAGTAGGGTGTTCTATTGGTTTTGACTGTTTTTCAAAAACACAACCCTTTTTTTCCACAGAAAAAGTGAGCAAAGAACACAATCACTGTAAAGATAACACCATTGCAGCTACAACCAGGTAAGACAATGCAAAGTAGTGCATGAGTATAGCGCACATGTAAAATATCAACAGTGTCATAGAATTATAGTACTGATATTTTTTGTATTTTAGGGTCCCCCCCCCCCCAGATTTTGAAATCTGCCTCTAAAATGAAAATATATGGTGGTACATGATCTGACTGAAGTGAAGTACTTTTAAATCACATCAATTTGGAGATGAACCTTTAATGAGAATTAAAAGTGCTTAACTTATGTTGGATCATGCCCTCCATATTTATGTGATCAGTTAATATTTCAGTTTGACAAGTGATTAAAAATTCAATCAATAAACTCACTGGGTTGGGCAAGCTGGAAAAATGAATCAGAAAGCTTGGCATTGGTACATTGGTGATGTACTTGTAAATCATAGGATTTTATTGGTATAGCATGAAAAAATGGATCCTGCTTCTGTAACAGACTGTGACAGTGCCACAAAAATCTCACTCACTGTAAAGCCGAATGATCTAAAATAGGTAATCTATAGCATTCAGCCATATATTTCCTTTTCTAATCTTGAATAGGCACAGGAAGGATTATTATTGGGAAAGAAAGTTACTTTCTTCTCTTCAACTGCAGTCCAAGTAAAATTGCCCTCCATTTCTCCTGGCATGGTTTTAGGGGGGGGGGGGTTCCTTTAATGCAGATATAGGTAAACCCAGGCCCGGGGGCAGGATGCGGCCCCTTGGGCTCTTTTCGTTGGCCCTCCTCTCTCACACCATCCTACCCTGCCTTCCTTCTGTCTTTCCTTCCTTCCCTCCCTCCCATCCTTCCCTCTCTTCTTCTCTTCCATCCTTTGGTCCTTCCTCCCTTCCTGCTCACCAATGCTTCCTCTTCATCCTGGAAGGAAGTGACAAGCAAAGTGCAGCAGGGTTCCATCCAGAGCCCAGTCATGTTTAACATCTTTATTAATGACTTTGATGAAGGGTTAGAAGGCAGGATCATCAAGTTTGCAGATGACACCAAATTGGGAGGGACCACCATGAGAATTGGAGCAGAATTCAAAACAATCTTAACAGATTAGAGAGATGGGACAAAACTAACAAAATGAAGTTCAACAGGGACAAATGCAAGATACTCCACTTAGGCAGAAAAAATGAAATGCAAAGATACAGAATGGGGGACAATGCCTGGCTCGAGAGCAGTACGTGTGAAAAAGATCTTGGAGTCCTTGTGGACAACAAGTTAAACATGAGCCAACAATGTCATGTGGCGGCAAAAAAGCCAATGGGATTTTGGCCTGCATCAATAGAAGTATAGTGTCTAGATCCAGGGAAGTCATGCTACCCCTCTATTCTGCCATGGTCAGACCACATCTGGGATACTGTGTCCAATTCTGCGCACTGCAATTGAAGAGAGATGTTGACAAGCTGGAATGTGTCCAGAGGAGGGTAACTAAAATGATCAAGGGTCTGAAGAACAAGCCCTCTGAGGAGTGGCTAAAAGAGTTGGGCATGTTTTGCCTTCAGAAGAGAAGGCTGAGAGGAGACATGATTCTCTGGAGGCTTCTTGTGCCTACTTGCATGGCAGGGAGTTCGACTGGATGGCCATTGGAAGTCTCTTCCAGCTCTAGGATTCTAGGATTTTATATCAAGAGTAATCAATATGGGATCTCATGGATACACTTTTTCTCTGCCACCCACCCTCTCATTCTGACCAAGGCCAACCCTTTTGGGATCCAAATGTTTCCCATCTTTCCTTCAGTTTCTGCCGCCAAAAGAGAAGAGGATAGAAAGGAAAGTGCAGGGCAGGGACTTGAGGAGAACCCCCTTCCTCCCATCCTGTTCCAGCCCACCATGCAGCCCCCAAGTTAGAAAGTTTGCTTATGCCTGATTTAATGTCTATGAACATTTATTTCCCTTGAAGCTTCTAGGCAGGCAAATGGAGTTTTAGATAACAGGTAAAGGGAGATAAAATAACATTCCCTTTTCTGTATGAGATCATTCTATTAGTAACCTCTCTCTACTTTTTCAAAGGAAAAAACAGGCATAAAGTTTTATGTTACAGATTGAGCCATTTTGTGATTTAAGGTGTAAGTCAGGGGTGGGATTTATGTGGCCTTTCAGATGTTATTGGGCTGACAAGAACTGGGAGTTGCAGTCAACCAACATCTGGAAGGCTTCTTGATTCCCACCCCTGCTTAAAATTCTTGCTTGCTTGCCTCACATGTGTTCATTGTTGGGAAAACATGGTTCTGAAGTGGGGTGATTTCTTTCTCCACATGTCTGTCCTTGAAACTTTTCGTTCACTATTAATCCGAATTAAAAAAAAAAACCTAGGAAATGTGAAAACATGCCTGGCTCTTAAGGATGTGTTCAGCACAATAAGGCAAGGTGGCAGTTTCCTGGAATATGCTTAGAAAAATATTTTGGACCACACTTCCAGAATCCCCTCATCTTGAGAATTCTGTGAGTTGTAGTCTAGATGCTTAACTTCTCCAGGATCTGAATGTGGCCCACTAAGCAGTTTCTTCTATAGCCCAAACACAACTACTTCAAGATTCATTCTATTGTAAGCACTGAAGGAAAAAGAAATTTATCACACTCACTTATGCTAGAAAATCTAAATGCCTTCTTGACCCCAGAAAGCAAGTGTTACAGCACCACTTCTTTAGGAACTATACACAGGGCACATCCAGACTTTTTGAAAAGTTATATAGTTTGTTGCCATTCTTTCTAGGTTTTTTTTACTGGTTTGCAATAAATTGACATTGGAGAACCGATATAAAACATCTCTCTACTGACAATTGTCAAAACAGTCTAGATTAAACAAAATGTGTATGGATATCCAAAATAAAATCAGAGAGAAGAGGAACAAAATATAAAAATCCTTTTAATCAATCTGGGTGCCCTATAGATTCATGGAGGCAGTAGGATTCCTTTCCTGAGTTCAAGAAACTCTCTAATTTTATTAGCTCAGTTAAATCTGGTAGCAAACTAAGGCTGTGTCTACACATACCCAAGTAATTGAGGTTAAAGTGTCTCTGGAGCCTTTTGATCACTCAAACAACCAGTTGGGCCAAGAGCACACTGGGACACTACTGTGCAACCACCAACAAGTAGCTCCCTGCCAAAGATATGTTGGTGACATCTTGTCACATGGCTGGACACACTGATGTGACATCACCAGAAGCAACATCACGAGCAAGCATCTGCCAGGAGTTGCTTGTTGGCTGTGATGCAGTGCTTGGTCCGTTGGAGGTGTTGATAGTGGATCATGTCAAATGCAATCTAATCCAGCTGTCCACACCTCCGAAACTCTGGGATCACTCTGGAGCCTCGTGGAAGTTCTGGAGTAAATCCCATGTTCTCTTGGCCTACATTAACAGCTGGATGCATGACTTCTATTGCAAATTCAACAATGTGTCACCTGGATTCCCTGTAACAGCTAAGCAGGGAGTCCACATTATTTTGGCTATGTAAACACATCCTGTGGCAATCTTTCCCCTACTTGTGGATAGCCATCCATCTAAAGGACAGATTTAAATGCTCAAGATTAATGGGCAATGCAAGAGGCAACTAAGGTTCCTTCTATACCACCCTCTATCCCAAGAACTGACCCCAGATTATCTGCTTATCCCAGATTATCTGGCAGTGGAGACTCATATAATCCAGTTCAAAGCAGATAACCTGGGATCGGATCTTGGGGTATAAGGTCAGTGTAGAAGGAGCCTAAGATGTACTGTTTCTTAGATGTGATATGTTCAGAATATTTATTTGTCCCAGCTAGAACAGATCTATTCAATTCACTGTTGAATAGTAAGTCAACATATAGGTAAATCAAATCTGAAAAATCATGAAAATAATATTCCAATCAGTTTCATACAGTAGCTGTCTGAAAACATATAGTTGCTGCACCATCTATATACAGATTCTGTTGTGAAAGCTTTCTAAAGTCTTATTTCCACTATTTTAACTTATAATTCAAGGCTCAGTCTATGTACAGAACAGCATCCAATATTTTCATCACACATGTACCATTTTTTACTGGTTGTCCTGTCTATGAGTAGAAGCTTCCCACCACCTTTTTTTTGGTCTAAGTAGAAATTTGCTTAGGAAATAAGTAGTGTAAAAAGGTATAGAATCTCCTCTGTTAGTAATGTTTTTGCTCCCAGACCTTCCTTTTGCTACCTGAAAGGTTTCCTTGAATAACAAACAAAATGTATTGGCTCAGCCAAAGCTGTGGGAAATAACTGTGACAAGAACACTTAGTTTCAAGCGGTTCCCCAGTGCTGAAGACATTTTACCTGAGAGTATCAAGCTCTCAGCACTTTAGACGGGGAAAGTAGTTTTTCCATAGAGTTTGGAAAAGTAATTTCTCCACTTTCATTTTCCATATATAAAAACATTTGAGCAGGATGTCCTCATCTTCATGGTGACATTTATGACATCCTCACTCACTGAAATGGCTTGGCTTGGGCCTGATGCTGACACATAACACTGAAGCCTGAGCTTTCTGCAATGTGGCACTCCATAAAATCTGATACACCCCGCCGTGTCCTGAAATTTCTTTACCTAAGCAGCACTGGACTTCAGGAATATTTATGTCTCCTTAAAATCCCTCTGGTAATACCAGATTTCTTAACCTAATCATAGATGGTAGAAAATGGTATTTGCTGAAAAGTGGTGCCTAGGAAAATTATAGAATATATTCAGCTAAGCAACATGGTTGTTTTATTGTTCGTTTTTAAAAATAATTTGATCTAGATTTAATATTTACTTATTTATCGTGTCAGAAGCCAATTAAAAATTAGGTTATAATGTATAGGAAAACCACAAAAAAGTTAAAAACTTGGCATTATACTAAATTTCCTTTGACCGGAATCTGGCCACTTGGAATGCCTCTGGTGTTGGGAGAAAGTCTCCCATTGTGCATGTGGCAGGGCTCAGGTTGCATTGTAGTAAGTGGTCTGTGGTTTGCTTTTCTCCACACTTGCATGTCGTTGACTCCAATTTGCATGCCCCTTTCTTAAGGTTAGCTTTGCATCTCGTGGTGCCAGAGCATAGTCTGTTCAGTGCCTTCCAAGTCATCCAGTCTTCTGTGTGGGGGGGGGTTCTCATCTGGTGGTGGTGGTAGTGGTAGTAGTAGTAGTAATATTATATTTGTACCCCACCATCATCTCCCCAAGGGAACTCAGGGTGGCTTACAAAATCACTCAATAGTGCAGGCATATAGTACAGCAAGTACATAAGCAAAATAGTACAATAGCAAAAACATGAAAACAGATTACATGAAACATCATATAAACCCCCTTTAAAATATTCAATAAAATGCAGCTATGGCTGCAGACATTAAAAAAAACTGTACACCAGCCACTAATTGAGGTTCTGGGTTTTAACCTGCCACTTTTGGACTCTTGCTTGCTGAGGTGTTCCTTCGAGTATGTCTGTAGATCTTAGGAAGCTGTTTCTTGCTTTGAGGCAGTTGCTTAATGGCAGATTTCCAAACAGAGGATGGGCTGGAGATATCAATGCTTTCGTCCTTTCACTATTGGCTGGTGCAATACCGGCTAAACAGTATAATTTCTCCAGTGGTGTAGGGTGTAGACATCCTGTGATAATGTGGCCTGTTTCATTAAGAGCCACATCCACTGTTTTAACATGGTGAGATGTATTCCACACTGGGCATACGTATTCATCAGCAGAGTAGCAAAGCTCAAGGGCAGATATAGATTTAATCATATTCTATTTAAATTAGTTAGTAAAGTTGGTCACAACTAATTTAAGTTCCATGTGACTTTGCTGCAAGTATAACTAACCATTTTTTTCCCACAAATTGGTTTTTGGCAAAAGATTTTTCTATTCTGCTTCGTAATTCATGAATATACCAGTTAGTAATTCACTGATGGTGATGTAGAGTCATTTTGCAGAAGACTGAAAAATTTGATCTACAATTTTATTTAAATTCTTTCTTAATTGTGCATCTCTAAGCAATGAACTTACTATATATGCAACTGTACATTACTATTGCTGATAGGATAATTATCGTTTTGTCTACTTACGAGAACATTTTTCCCTTCAGCCCTTTTTTTTCAGAAGATACATTTAGACAATCACCATTCACTTCCAATTCAAAAGATCTCCTGGCTAATGAAACCGCTGTTCCTGGAAAGACGACAGTAACAGGTATAGAACATTATGTCTCTTGTTACAAGAGATTTCAAATGCTGCAATGCGATTCCTAATCATGTTCTGATAACCTCAAGAGGAAACAGGTCAGATGCTGAAATGAAATGTAAAAAGGCCATGACTCATAAAATAAATCTAACTAAGAATAAATTATTCTTATTTAAAATCAGGTATGATTGGATGCTTTAGTTAAACAAAACAGATGATAATAACTGTTTTATGGGTTGCAAAAGTAACAGGGGACATCAAGGTAATTGTAGATTGTGGAGAGGCATTGAGCCTGGAAAAAACGTTGGAATGAGATGTTGATTAGAAATGCCTCAGCACGTAATGTCTGGCGTTTGTGTATAGCATTTACTGTATCCCGCTGTCTTCGGTGGGCTGTCTTTCTACCTGCAGTTGAGTTGTGTCATGACAGCCTAAAGATTTCCAGTTGTTGGCTTCATTCATACATTATGTTCAACCGTTGAGCACAATGTGCATGGGTGGCAAAAGTGTGCACTGAATCTCAGACCTTTGTGCTCTCTCGCTTTTCCCACACACTGAAAGGAGCTCAGAAGCTTTTTCTTTCAAGTTTGATTAATCAACGATTTGCCATGTCGTGTGGCGTGAACTTCTCATCTCTACTTTACACAAAGGGAAGTGGGAAAACAGTTATAACTTCTCCAAGCTTTGTGCTACACTGTGTTTTAGCATGGCATGTATATGAGATCACTATGAAAGTTAAAGGTCAAGGCATCAGGAGACTTTTTTTTAGAGTTAGCATTTATACTCATTCTATAATTCACCCAGGAAACACATCACCTTGGAAAAAAGCATTTCAAATTGTAAGCTTTCTCATTAAAGGTTCTAGTTGTGTAAATGGTCTTTTCGGTTTTGGAGCAGTTCACTACAGAATTTGGAAGATTATCTACCAAACCGAAAAGGTCTGGGATTACATGCTTTTACTAAAGCTATATGGCTTATATACCGCCTGCATAGATAGGTGCTTCATCATTGCAATTTATATCTTTCCCGTTCTTTAGAAGTGCATTTGGCTATGGCTATTAGCTCTGAAGTTAAATAACAGGGTAGTAAGTGGCGAACTTGGCAGGTGCTTCAGCTTAAAGTACCCAGCTGCTGAAATGTTTTTGATTACTCTGAAAACGAGGTGATCATAAAGTAATGTAAGATATGGTAATTTATGTCTCGGATCCAAATTCCTCTAATAGGAAGGCTATGATCCTCTCAGAGGCCCTCTCTACGGGGAAAATCAGTCTGGCTCTTTAGACTCTCTTAAGGATACTGGAATATCAATTTTATTTTTTCACTGTTGCATCCCTACCTACTTTTCTAGCATTGTCCTTGTGAGCAAGTGTGATGTGTTTATTATCTGTAATTTATCAAGAAACATGCAGAGCTTGGAAACTTTACTTCTTTAGGCTGAATGTTAGAGGATTCTGAGATTTGTAATCCATAATATAAGTTCTAGGTCAGTTGGTCGATATATCTATCTGCAGGGTATCTAGGCAGCATTATGCTCTGGACTGGCCCAGATCAACCATGATGACTTCCAGGTACACTTGGACAAACTCTATGTGGCACCATGTAGGTCTTGCTCGGCCAGTGTTTCTCAGCCTGGGGGTCAGGTCCCCTGGAGAGGGGGGGTTGCAAGGGAGTTTCAGGGGGTCATCATAGACCATCAGAAAACAGAAGGCTGAAGATCTCTCCGCCTGTCCTCTTCCTTTTTAGAAACAGACGACAAATCCACCAAAAGCCCTCCTCCACTATGATTGGCCGGACTCTCGCTCAAGGGGAGGGCTGCTTCTGAGACTCCAGGCGGGGAGGGGAGAGCAGGCATGCTCAGAGCATGGCAGCATGGTGTGCATGTGCGGGTGAGGGAGAGCTTGCGAGGCTGGAGGGAGGGTTGCACCAGGGAGTGGCTTCAAGGCATGGGGATTCTGTGTGGGAAGTTTGGCCCAGTTCCATTGTTGGTGGAGTTCAGAATGTTCTTTGATTGTAGGTTAACTATAAATCCCAGCAACTACAACTCCCAAATGACAAAATCAACCCCCCCCCCCAACCCCACCATACATACAAATTTGGGTATATCGGGTATTTGTGCCAAATTTGTGCCAAATTTGGTCCAGTGAATGAAAATGCCTTCTGCTATCAGATATTTGCATTACAATACATAACAGTAGCAAAATTACAGTTATGAAGTAGCATAACCGCACTCAGTCACCTTCAGGCTGAGAAAGGTGGTATATAAAAATGGTAAATAAATAAATAATGGAAATAATTTTATGGTTGGGGATCACCACAACATGAGGAACTATATTAAGGGGTCACGGCATTAGGAAGGTTGAGAAACATTGCGCTGGGCCATCCCCTTGTCCTCTGTGTTTCTGGTGCCACTCCTTGCTGGCCACAAGACACCTGCATAGTGAGCAAGAAGGGAGTAGAGCAGAAGAAAGGATTGCTCTATTCCAATGGTTCTCAACTTATGGGTCCCCAGGTGCTTTAGTTTACAACACCCAGAAAACCCAGCCAGTTAATGAGCTGTTAGGATTTCAGGGAGTTGAAGACCAAAACATCTGGGGACCCACAGGTTGAGAACCACTGGAGTAAAGCAATCCCTTCTTCTTGCTGATTACATAGGTGCCCCCATTCCGACCTCTCAAAGGGATGGTCAGATGCCCACAGGGAGAATCATGACCAGAGGGGACTGATTGTGGCAAAATGGGAGCTTACCTGTGCATAGGGAAAGGAAGATGGCTGTGGTGACCATGGGGACAATTGATTGGGCCGATATGGACCTGATCTACCTGTCCAGATGTCTCTAAAGTTATGGGATATTCCAAGCTAAAAACCCCAGATACTTACTGAAAGTCCTGTGTGTCATGACAACCTCCAGTACTGGATGCAAAGTGAATACAGTGTGTGTGTGTGTGTGTGTGTGTGTGTGTGTGTGGTGATGGGGGATCCATGTAGAAAAGCTCTCCAATGCTGTTATAAACTGATACTAGCTTAATTCCAATGAAAATATAGAAGGCAAATTATATATTCATACAAGTATTGTGTGATTGTTTAGAGATATCATCCTATAATTCTATGGGATTCTGTGTGGAATCTGAAAAAAAAATCATTTTACCTTTGGGAAATAACACAGCACTAACTGGTGTGAATCACAGACACAAATGAAAGTGAAGCTGTGGCAGTGAGCGTAGTTACTTCCAGTCTGCAAATATTCTTTCTCTGGATTCTGAATCTTATTTTTGGGAGAATGTTCGCATAACCATTAGGATAGCCCTAAATTTAGGCTGCAAGTTATTTGAAAACCAAATTAGTGTTATGACACATTCAAGGGCCATGCACCCCTTAGGAGAAATACTTCTGCATATCAATCATAGTAGCAAGAAGGCTATATTTATTTACAGATCATTCACTGCTTGAAAGATAGAAATGTCTACATTATTGAGCATGATGATAATTTTTCTGGTAAAGTTGAAGATAACTAGATGCAGATGTCAAACATAATGTGGGGGTTGTTGTGTGCCAAACAACCACCCACTTTGGGTTGCTGTGAATTTTCCGGGCTGTGTGGCCATGTTCCAGAAGCAGTCTCTCTGACGTTTCGCCCACATCTATGGCAGGCATCCTCAGAGGTTGTGAGGTCTGTTGGAAACCAGGCAAGTGGGGTTTATATAACTGTGGAATGTCCAGGGTGGGACAAAGAACTCTTTGCTTCTGGAACATGGCCATGCAGCTTGGAAAACACAGCAACCCAGTGATTCTGGCCATGAAAGCCTTTGAAAATGCAACCACCCGCATTGTTTCTGACTTACAGTAATTCTAAAATGAACTTTGCATGTCATATTGAGATGTTTTGTTTAAAGCAGTGGTTCTCAACCTGTGGATCCCCAGGTGTTTTGGTCTACAACCCCCAGAAAGCCCAGACAGTTTACCAGCTGCTAGTATTTCTGGGAGTTGAAGTCCAAAACGTCTGATGACCCACAGGTTGAGAACCACTGGTTTAGAGAGAGTTTGCCTCTGAGACTGCGGGAGTGGCTTGCCCAAGATTAGCCAGTGGTTTCCATGACTGAGTGGGGAATCACACTGTGGCCCACTGATGATATAGGGCAGTACATGAAATCTTTTGGGCAAGGTTTTCTTCAGAATTGTACCCTGGTGGACTCCCTTAAATACTCTTTTGGAGGCAGAATGTGGTAACAATAGACAGTAGAGATGAATTATGCTCCAGATTCCTTCTACTTTTTCCAGAAACATCAGCTGCTCAGAGCAGAATTGGCAAGCTAGGTATCTGTATTCTCCATCACTTTTATACATCCACAATGTCTCTGGATCTCAGAGTAACACTGGAGCCTAAAAGAAGTGGAGAAGGGACAAAACATGGTTGGGATCACTAGTTTTCATACTTTCCTTGCACATGATTTTAAAAAGCAGACAGATAAAAATTGGATGTTGGCTATGGTGGGCCATATTGGGACCCTGGCATTTGTTCATTCATGGTGCACATGGGTATGAGATTTAACCATACATTTGTTAGATTTCATTTCTGCTTTCCTTTCTCTTCTCTTTCTGCATGTTTGGCTCATATTAAAGTACTATGGTTGCTGAAAATGTTTGTAATGTACATTTCTTGCAAAAGTGGAAAGTTAATACATGAGACGGAAGCCTCTGAAAATACACTTGTACTATGAGCCAAGGAAGATCAAATAACAATGACCAGACAAGGTCATTAAGTGATAATTCTGATATTAACAGAAGTACAGAACAGCTTTTATCTATTTATCATATGCTGGGATTTATTTATTTACTAGCTTAGGTACCCGAGTTATTTGAAAAAGGCATTGTTTGTTTTGGGGTGTTAGGTAATATCATTTAGTTAATTAGCAACACTGTTTATTGGGAAAAAGCCAGTCTTTGATGTCATTTTTATTAATAGTCCCATTAGAAAATACATAATGATGTGGGTGAACTACAATTCCCAGGAT